GGAGAGAGAGGGAGAGAGAGATGACAATGACACAATGACACGTGGACCCACCGGTTGTGAGGTGCGGACGGCCCACTGACGGGCTGCCGGGCTCATGCACATGCGCAGCATGCAGCCCACAGGCGTTGCGTCGCTTTACAGATCATCGGCGGCCTGCGGCTGCAAGGGGCGCCGCACGTCGTTTAAATAGCCATGGCTCGTCTGGTGTGCGCACAGCCGTTTTACTGCAAGTGACAGTGATGTTGTATTTTAGAAAGTGCTCAAGTTACAAGTCAAAAAGGATCTGCTGGTATCCAGGAGGGCCCTTTATTTTTTGTGACCTGGCCTTACCGGTGCAGGCGCTTTCCATCTGCAACCTGCTGCGCTCACAGTGGAGCACAGCGCCTGGTGTTCAATTGGCCCTGTGACACCCTGTCGGCCACGCACCCGCCCAAGCACTTTACCCCCTCGGTACGCCTGCACAGGCTTCAGGGCACGATGCCATTATAAAAGGCTTGCAAAAACAGCACCGTGCTGTGCGGCGCAACAAAGGCGCAATGTGAGGCTGCCACACAGGTGTCAGGCAGCATCGAGTGTGCCAAAGCTATGAGGCAAGAGGCAAAGGGTACAGGCAAAGGATCGGTGCTGTCTATGTTAGAGTGGACTGTTCCGTGTGTGAAACAATTTAATCGGTTGTTGTCACATATGCATCTTTGAATGTCGCATTTGTGGCAATGCTCTTTGGCAACACACATACACGTGCGCACACATGCGCACGCGCCCCCCCCCCCACACACACACGTACACACACACACATACATGTATGTGTGTGTGTGTGTGTGTGTGTGTGTGTGTACAAACACATACACACGTCTGGTGAAATTGCAGGGGAGGCTCAGGCTATGCATTGCAACTGCCGCAAGGCATGGATCGCGGAACGGACATGGTGCGGCAAGTAGTGGTGGATGGAGGACTGGCAGGTTGTCTGTACGCAAAGACTCAATGAGGGGCTGGATGATGCATTTTTATCTGAAGGCTAGTTGCAAGCGTGGCCGCCAACTTCGAGAGGAGATGCACCAAAGATTGGCGCAAGGCCAGTTAGCTCTTGGCCGTTAGCTCAGAGGGCAACGTGCGCAAAGCAAGCAGGCAGACGCGTCTGCAATGCAATCGGACCCCCAAGTGCACAGTTGATGTGCCAGGGTATGATGTCCAAACTGACAGCGGCTATTGGCGGGGACGACAGCAGCGCAGACCGGCAACGACACCCAGCCATCAAGTGCTTGAATCATGCGCTGTGAACATTGGCAATTGAAAAGATCAATGAGCAACAGCGGGCGCCTTAGCGCAGCCCTCTGCTGCCAATCATGGGGTCTGTTTGCGTGTGAGTCGCCAACTATCTTGGGGGTTGTGACCGGGCCCCGAAAGCCGGGGCTTGTCAGGTGCTTGAGCAAGGCGAGCAAGGTGCCCTTGGAAGGCTCAATTTATCTCCATATGCACACGGGCAGCACAGCCGTCTCGAGCCAGCGAACGCGCGCCACCGCATGGTGGCGCGTGAGCGCGCGCGGCCCTTCACCCACGCACACATGTGCACACTTGCACCCGCAGTTAATCTCAGCCGGGGCCTTGTCCAACAATCAACTGCCATGCCAAATCGCCATTGTGCAATATGGAGTGAAAGGAAATCGAAGGTGCTCAATATGGGCTTGCATCAAGGTGCTCAGCTGCAGCAGGTTGGGACTGGCTCTCAGTGCAGCTTGGATTCGAGAGTGAAACGACTGTAGGGTGAGGTGCAGCTTGAACGGCACCTCAAAGCATCCCCCCTTGGGTGAGAGAGGACTGCGCGACGGGCGGCAGCGCGCTGCCGGGAACGACTTGCGGCGCAGGGCGGCGGCGCTGGTCTGCGGCCAGGGCGCATGGCAACACCACAAGTGCTTGTTGGGCCGGGGTCTGCAGGCAGGACACCGACAGCCGTGCTTGAAAAGTGCTGGGCCCCAATTGGCTGCGGATTGCGCCACGATGTACACAACAGACAGCGTGACACGACTGCTTTTGCTGCTTTGAAATGCAGTAGATTTCGAGCCGCAGAGGCAGCGCGCACGTCACCAGTACTTCAACAGTCACCTGCCACGGGTTGGTTAATCTAGCAGTTGAAAGCCTGAAAGTGAAAAGCCTGAAAACACCCACGCCACCTACAGCAGCTGTTCCCTGCTGTCAAGTAGCTGGTCGCACGTTGGTGTGCGCGCCAGCGAAGAGACAGCCAGATCACAACCCATTCGTGTGCCAGCCCATCACAGCGCACCGCCAGCATCGTCGCCGTCGGCGGCGCCCACGGGTGCGCCTGGCGCCTGGACCACCACACGCGCGCCCGGCGGCAGCATCGGGCGCAGCAGGCAGTCCGTGACCGCGCGCGCGGACAGGGCCTTGAGCGCGTCGTCCTGGATCAGCGCCGCCCGCAGCTCGGATGCCAGGAGCGACAGCGGCGGCTGCAAGGAGGGTGGTGCGGCATCGGTGGCATCGGTGGCATCGGCGGCATCGACGAGCACCGGCGCCGGTGCGAGGAGCGCGGCGCGTGCCTCCCGCTCCAGCGCCGCGCCGACGCGCGCCGCGCCGGCGGGCGCGTCAGCCCAGCGGGCGAGGGCGGCGGGCAGCAGGGCGTCGACGCGCTCCTGCGGGGCCACGGGGGCGGGGCGGGGCCGCGTACGGGGCAGGTGAACGTTGGTGGCGCTGCGTGGGGTGCGGCACCGACGCTCGTTGCGGGACGTCCTCAGAGCCTGCGCACTTGAAGTGGGGCGCCCACGAAGCTGCCACTGCCCGTCTGCTGGGTCTGAGCATGCAGGATTTCAGCCCCTAGCACATGCAAACCCACTTGCTGCGTGGCAGCGTGCGCTGCAGCATGCGCAGCAGCGCAAGCTCCAGGCTAGCCACCCTGTCCCAAGCCGCACCTCAATCCTGCGCTCAAGGGCGCCGCTGGCTGCCAGCTGGCCCACCGAGGCCGTCATGGCCCCCACCAGCTGCTCCTCAGCTGCCGCAAACCCCTGCTCCAGCCCCTCCGACACGCCCCGGTCCTGCAGCCGCCGTTGTTGAGTCGCAGCAGGCGAGCGTGTGAGCAGCAGCAGCGCGCTCAGTACGAGGGCGGCGCAAAGCTTCAGAGATTGTGTGAGCGCGTATCGGGAGAAAGCTTTGCGCGTTGTAGCAGGTGGGGCAAGACAGACATTAGAAGGCTGGGCAAACTGAATGGGGGTTGCATGGGGGTTAAACGTGTGATGAGTGTGGCCGCTGCGCACCTGCGCGATGCGCGAGACGCAGGCGCGCAAGAGGGCCTCCTGCCTCTCCTCCTCCGGGTCGCCCTCGGCATGCGGCCACAGCACCGCGAGCAGCGCCGATGGGTCGCGCTCGAGTTCCTGCAGCAGCCGCGGCGCGGCCGCCTCGAGCGCGGCGGGCAGCGCGTCGCGCATCGCGGCGCGCCAGAGGACGGGGTCGGCCAGCCGCGGGCCTTGCCGCTGGAACTCGGACTTCACGACAGCCCTGGGAGGGTGTTAGGAGTAGCATTGTTTGTTGGTAAGGACTGTTGAACAATATACATGGGTTGTCGCTACAAAACCGAATGGTGATTGTGCTGTGTGCGTGCGCCGCCCAGCCCATGTTTGGCCCTTGCAATGACGGCAGGCAGCCATGGCGCCACCACGCGCGTGAAGGCAACGCCCGCTCCAGTAACTCGCCCATGCAGCACAATCGCAAAACTCCTCAGCGCATGGCGGCGCGACGCATGGGGCATGGATCTGGCTGCGCCCGTTGCTTGCATGCGGCGCATGCATGCACTTGGTCCCCTTGCGCATGCTGCAACATCAGCATGCAACATCCGCATGAAACATCGGCATGCATCTCCCCCACTTTGCGCCATGGCGGATGAGGCGCTGCCGCACCGCCGCCTCGTGGCTCGCACCTGAGCCCGTCCTGGAACACCTCTGACGCCGCCAGCCCGTCCAGCGCGCGCTGCAGCGCCTTGGACACCGCGTCGTACAGCAGCAGCTTCGCATACTCCAGCGGCTGCTGCTGCGCGTCCTCCGGCGGCGGCGGCGCGCCGCCCGCCGCGTCGGCCACCCAGGCGTCAAACGCGTCGAGCGCCGCGGCCCCCAGTGCGCCGGCCGCGCCGGGCCTGTCGGCCTGCGGCTGCGCGGTCGCCTCGGCTGCCGGCGCGCTGGCGAGCGCTGTGCAGGGCGCCTCGTCACGGCGGCGCTCGGCGCGCGCCTGCTCCAGTTCGCGTCGCAGCTCCTCATTCTGGCGTAGGAGCTCATGGTAAGACGGCCGGCTTGGCGACGGAGAGCGTTGCGCCCCGCTGCGGCCGCCAGCGCCGTGGGAGGGGCTGCAGGGCGCGGCGGCGTCGGCGTCGGCGTTGCCGGCGTTACCGTCCGTGTTGGCGCCGGCGTCGACTGCGGCAGCGGGAGGGCTCAACACCTCGCGGCTCGTGCCGCCGGCGCCGCCGCGCGTGGCGCTCGTGCTGGCGCCGCTGGCCCCGCCAGTGCCGCCGCTGACGCTCACAGCGCGTTCTGCTGGCGGCTGGGCGCAGCAGCCGGCGGCCGCGATCGCCGGCGAAACACAGGTTTCACCTAGTGGCCGCTCCGCAGCCCCTGCATCGGCGGCGGCTCCCGCAGCGGCGCAGCCAGATGCTGTGTCTGCAGACGCGCGCACGCTTCGCTTCACCGGCAGCTGCTCCACCGACGCCATGAGCGCTTGCCCCTCCTGGGCCCGCCCCTCCTCGGCCTGCTCTGCTGCGCTCTCAGCTGCTGCGTCTGCGCCGACGGCACGGGCCGGCGCCCTGCGCTTCAGCTGGTTGGACGCCGGGCCACCATGAAACGCGGCTGCCGGCGTGGGGTCCAGCGCAGCGCTGCTGCCTTGGGCCTCTGCCACCACCGCGGGCACTGGCATGGTCGCGAGCACGGGGGCGGCTGCGGCCTCGAGACCAGGGTCCAAGGCATCGGCGGCTTGGGGACCACGCGGCGCGGGCTCTGTAGTGGAGGGCCCCGCCAGAGCTGGGCCGTCCCGCCCCGGCGGCAGCCCGCCAGAGCCGCAGCCGCCGGACTCGCTGGCATCGGCCCGAGCTGGCGCGTGCGGAGCCGGCGGCGGCGGCGGCGAGCCGTCTCGCGCTGACTCTGTGCCACTCAACACCTGTTCGTCGCCTCCAGTGGACGTGAGGCCGGGCGCCTCCTGGCGCTCGTGCTGCTGGTGCTGCGGTTGTCGCCGCTGCTTCTGCAGGCGCTGCTGGCGCTGCTGTGGCTGCTGCTGCTGCTGTGGCTGCTGCTGCTGCTGTGGCTGCTGCCGTGGGTGCTGCTCCTGCTCCTGCTCCTGCTCCTGCTCCTGCTCCTGCTCCTGCTCCTGCTCCTGCTGCTGCTCCTGCTGCTGCTGCTGCTGCTGCTGCTGC